ATCATCTCCCAAGTGCTGGCCCATGTCATAGCATCCGGTCCTGTGTTGCTGTTAGCTGTTGAATCTCCCGGAGCAGTCGTTGTATTCGACGTTCCATTCTTCATTATTGTTTTCGCAGCTGTTGGTGCTATGCTTATCGCATCCCTGGTTAAGGGCAACGGTGTCGATTGTCGTTTGTTCCTTTGTGGTTCTGCAAAGTCAACTCTGGTGCCTTGCGTACGATCCGCTGCCGGTCTTTCTTGTGGAGTAGAACCTCTCAAGATTGCATCCAACTTTGCCTGTATTTCACACGAACTCTCGGCTTGACTCCTGCTCATTGTGTCCATTCTCCTTTCCAGGCTCCCTAATTGGCTGTTGACATCATCATATCGGTTCTTCAACTGTTGCATGTCTGTTTTGATGTTCTTTTCTCGTTCTTCATTGGTGGCTTCTACCTTATCTGACATTTCCTTGAGTCTCTCATCTGTTGCCTTAGCTAGGTTAAAATAACTGTCTAGATACTCGTGCTTGTTGTATCTTATCTCCTTTTTTATCACCTCTCTGTCTTCTTCACTGTGCTTAAGTCTTTTGTCAATCTGATTTAATTTCGCCAACAAGTCACCCAGCTCAATGGTAGTCTCTTCATGGTCAGCTGTCGGTCTCTCTTCGGCCGTAGCCTCTGCTTTAGCTTGTTCCTCTCTTGGATTGGCTTCTGAGGTCTTCGTGCTCACTGTCCCAAACGTTCGTGCTCTTTCTGCTTTTGGTTCTTCAGTCACGTTTTCTTTTGTTTTTATTCCGAACATTATTCCCAATTTTTCCGTAAAAGATGTCCTCTTTACTTGAGAGTCTTCTTTCACCGTTTCTTCGGTGTTGCTTATTGCATCTTCCGCGTCATCTATCGGTGAGAACTCTATGGGTTTCTGGTTCGGTTCCTCTGCATTGGGCATTGGAGTTGACTCTGTCGCCATCTTCCTTGTTTCATCCACACTTTGATCGGGTGTCTCTAGATCAATCTCGATGGTGGGTTCTACTCGCTCCCCTTCCGTGCCCTCTTTCGCCCTGTTCTCCGCTGTACTCCTTGTGCTGACCATGTTAACTGAAAAGTTCGTCTTCGTTATCTTTGGGCCCGTTGATGTCGTTCCGCGCAGCGATGAATTATATTTCGTGTTTGATCCACTTGACCTTTTTTCGAGCACCGGTACCCTACTCCGCCTCATTATTTCTATTTACAACTGCTTCTATTTACAATTTTATTATATACACGATTCTATTCTAAGGGTAAAAAAAATATTTTTTGTGGTAACAAATTCTGTATAACGTGTTAAAAACCTTATCCAATTCTCTTTCTAAAACCTCCGAAAAATTTTCCTTAATTTGGTCTTAACCCTACCTATTTCGATTTGTCTTATTCTGTCTTAAAACGCACTTGTTGTAATTTGACTTCAATTTCTATACCGTCCCAAGACTATTCGTCACTATCACAGTACTCTCCGTTAGTGTCCTAAGACCCTTGTACCAAGACCACTGTTCCAAGACTACTGTCCCAAGACTAGTGTCCCAAGACTACTGTCCCAAGACCAGTGTCCCAAGGCTAGTGTCCCAAGACTACTGTCCCAAGGCTAGTGTCCCAAGGCTAGTGTCCCAAGACTACTGTCCCAAGGGTAGTGTCCCAAGACCAGTGTCCCAAGACTACTGTCCCAAGACTAGTGTCCCAAGGCTAGTGTCCCAAGACTACTGTCCCAAGACTAGTGTCCCAAGGGTAGTGTCCCAAGACCAGTGTCCCAAGGCTGGTGTCCCAAGACTAGTGTCCCAAGACTAGTGTCCCAAGGGTAGTGTCCCAAGACCAGTGTCCCAAGGCTGGTGTCCCAAGACTAGTGTCCCAAGACTAGTGTCCCAAGACCACTGTCCCAAGACTGTCCCAAGACCACTGTCCCAAGACCCTGTCCCAAGACCACTGTCCCAAGACCCCTGTCCCAAGACCCTGTCCCAAGACCACTGTCCCAAGACCCTGTCCCAAGACCCTGTCCCAAGACCCTGTCCCAAGACCACTGTCCCAAGACCACTGTCCCAAGACCCTGTCCCAAGACCACTGTCCCAAGACCCTGTCCCAAGACCCTGTCCCAAGACCACTGTCCCAAGACCACTGTCCCAAGACCCTGTCCCAAGACCACTGTCCCAAGACCCTGTCCCAAGACCACTGTCCCAAGACCCTGTCCCAAGACCACTATCCCAAGACTGCTCTGTCCCAAGACTTCTTCGGTCTTGTCCCAATACTCGTCACGGAGTGTCTTCCTCGTTGTAGGGTCTTCTTGAACCACCGTACCTTGTACCACCACTCAAGCTCTAGTAAAATTTTCCCAAAAACCCTCTCTTAAAAGCCAAATGCTGACCCCCCTCTTCTTTTTGGTTGTTTCTATTTCAATGTAGGTGCGCAGGTATCTTGTGATCACCTGTTCGTATAAAACCAAACACAAATCCTCAATAAAATGCAACAAAAATTTTAAGTAAGAAAAATAATAAAAACAGAAAAATGAGCCCACCTAAAATTTAAAGGTGACCAATGTCTACCTTTCGTCTAAAAAAAATGTCTGGTACCTAATTGCCACGCGTTTTCCTCCCCCCACTAGTGATCTTATGGGGTATCACAAAAGCTGTCTATATCCGGTCCCCCCTACCAAACCAACCAGCGTACCAGCCTTAACTCGAGTTGGATTTTGGATCTCCACCTAATATTACCAACGCGTGTTAATTTCTAATGTAACTAAGTCAACGATGTCGACTAATTAGTTACTCTAATTTCCCCCTTTTTGCAATTTACAACCGCCAACCTCTAGCCTAACCAGTCCCCCTTCTAACCTCCCCCCTTTCTAGCCCCCCTTCTTAAGCCTAAAAATTACTTTAAGCGCCGGGTGCTAAACCTCTCAAGAGAAAACCGTAGACCTGTTTCCAGGCCTGCTCAAGTAAAAACGTTCCTCAAAACTGGGGGATTTCGCTTATCCAATTTTACACTTATCTCCTATAATGTAATGTGGATTCTAACGATACCCGTTCTGCCCAACTTGAGAACTCGAGAATTGCCAAATCCTTCTTGGCTGCTTTCCCACTCGACTGGTCACCTGTTCCAGTCCAGTCTCCTTTTGGTTCAGCCAAGTGTCCCTGAACCACTTTCCCACTCGGCTGGTCACCTCTTCCAGTCAAGTCTCCTATTGGTTCAGCTCAAGTGTCCCTGAACCACTTTCCCACTCGGCTGGTCACCTCTTCCAGTCAAGTCTCCTATTGGTCCAGCTAAGTTCCAAGCTATCTGAAAACCCTTGACAACGCCCCACTTCGGGCACTTTATTCAGTTTACTGGTTTAAATTGCTAGGTTCATCGAAACGATCGAACTTGTAAAACAGTATGGGTATACTATTTAATTAATATAAAGGTTTGATCCAACTAATCTGGTGTCAAAGTCACTTGTCTTTTTTCGTTTTATGGTTTTTGTTCCTTTTTCTATTCTTTTTTGGTTTTTGTTTTGCTTTTTGTCTTTTTGCTCGTGTTTTTGTCCCCCTAGTTGCCCCCCTTTACTCGGTTAGCTAAGCCTCGTTCGGAGAGCGTACCAGGAAATTTTCTCGAGTTTTCTTAAAAAGCTATCACGGTACAACCGGAAGGTTTGCACGTTCCTGTCGAACCGTACCGCCGGTACTCTAGAATGGGCATTCAGCCCGAAGCTGTCTCAAGTGGGTTCGACTCCGTAGTCTTGATGTCGTAAACACCCAGGAGCGCCATAAAAACACTATGTAACATTCGTCTACTGCAGTCACACATGAGGCTTAAGAAAAATAGGCCCTATAACCACTGGCTCAAGGGTCAGGGACACTATCTCTTGTGTTTTTCTACCTCAAGAACGGTCGGAGCCAGTTCGGTTCGCTTGTGACATGAGACTACGACCCGTTACAGCTTAAAGGCTACTACTAAAATATCCCCCCACTCTAGAATTAGAAACGTCCCCATACTTAGGTCTCTAGATACCCAAAATACATGAACGCCGTTAAAAACCGGGTTGGAACAATCCGTTAAGTTACTTTTTATTAGACAGTGGAACTTTGATCCATTTCAGATGGATCAACCTAAAACTCGCCTTACCTCAACATAACAATTATAAAACACACTCTAGGAATTTAAATTAAGTACTCACATTGCAGCACGCTCAAGAACCAGGAAGTAAATAAGTCGGTAAGCAACTCAAGAATTAATAAAGTAACTAAAATGAGTTTAATGTCAGTCAGTTTTAACAACAAGAACAAGTGTTTACTCTAGACTACCAGTTCTCGTGAACCATTGGGACACTCTAGCTGTCCACCTTTCCACCGAAGGTTCACTCTGGTCCAGTCAATAATAGTATTCCAATCGTAATAATCCAACTCGTGGGAATGCTCTCGTCTCTGTTTCAGATGGGACAGCTCTACTCTAGGTTATTGTTGCTTTCGAAATTGCGAATAGCAATTTCCCACCGATTTTTCTAGCAACTTTCCCGCGATTGTTACTCGATTGTTCTGAAATTGTTCTTATCTCTTTTTCTGATTTTCAGTTCTCGCGAGAAAATCGTGCATGACAGGTTCCATTCGAAATTTTGAAAAATTAAATTTCACTCCAAAATCAAGTGTTTTTTGCTTCTCTCAAGGTCAAACTTCCAAATATGACCGACTGGCACAATTCAAATGGTTTATGACTGGTTTCTAGGATTTTGACTAAAATATGTGATGAAGCTACTCCTGACTGTAATCTCGGTTACTATGATACTTTTGACCTTCTGACCCTTAAAATTGATGAAGGACTAATTCTCATTCGCCGAGTAAAGTTTGCTTTTTAAAAATCAGAAAGCAAACACCATTGAATTAACTTCACCTGTCTTAACATGCGAACTGGAGCGTACATGTAATGGTAGTTGACTAAACTGGAGTTTTTCAGCTGGATTGTTCTGCTTGTGGTATTACCACCAAGTACTTGCTGTAATAATATATAATAATTGCATTTGATTCAGAAAATGGGAGATAGTGAAGGTAATGCTAATGAGCAAACGGAGAAGTTATATGTAATGAGTAATCTTCCTTCTTGGGCAATTAAAAATTACGACGAAAATGATGAAACCGAGAATCTGGCTTCATCGGTGCAAGCATCAATGAAAACAGCTACAACTGCACTTAAAGAATTCTGTGACAAACAAAAACTGAATCCCAAATTTGACCTGATTAGCTCCGCTGGGGGTAATTTTGTTTACGAGGCGAAGCTCGATAGCCTCGTGTTTACAGCAGAAGCCAGTAGTAAGAAGAATGCTAGAAAGAAGTGCTCTGAAAGTATGCTTCTCGGACTTAAAGATCGCATGTCTGAGCAAGACAAAGTGCGTTTTTTAAAGCCTTATTTCGCAGAAGAACAAATAGGCGAAATTCAGAGAGAGGTTGCAGAAAATTTCGTGGATAAAAATCCTATAGGGGAGCTGCAGGAGTATTCAGTGGCGTTGCAATGGCCGTGTCCCGAGTACAAACTTATAGATGAAACTGGTCCTGCACATATGAGGTCATTTGTCATGCAATGTACTCTCAACAAATTAATTTCTGTTGGTGAGTAAGATTTTAAATTGCCGTGTTTTTCAAACAAATGCTATACAGATTTTGAACTAAAATGATTGTAGCTTTCATCAGGAAAACGAGTTTGGCGCTGACTGGAAATTCAATGGGAAGGGATTTTGGATTAAAATATAGTTGTTACGACCATTGATAATGGGGTCGAATTTTGTCTTTGTTCCGAACTTTGAAAATGAGGATGAACTTTTCGAGTGTATTTGAGTTTTTTTATTTTTGTTTTCCACGCATAATCGAGTGCCACAAGTAATAGTCGGAAGGGGTCGAGTGAGATTAAATATTAAAGCCTTTTCAGTCGTGATTCAATCAAGATAAAAAGTTATTGAGCAGAAAGTCAGAAAAAACTTGTTTGGGCTCTCCTCGCCTCACACGAGCATCAATTTTATGGTCTTTATAAAATTATGAATACCAAATCTGCATGCCAATTTTCATGACAATTGGACAATCTGAACAGTAATTTGAATTATAAAAATTTGCAGGTGGGGGAAAAGGAAAAAGAACCCTTGTTTGTTAGTTATTAATTTTTCGAAGACCTCTGTTGTCTTTATTTCGAAAACATACTACGCGTTTGTATAGCCCGCTTATCACACAAGGCACAATACACGACATTAGTTTAAAAAAGGAAAACGATTTGTTGTAGTTTTTTATGAATGTGGTATGAACTTTGTGCTACGTGCCCAGTCACCGGTTATCATTTTTTTTTGTCTGACAGTGCTCGTAAGTAGTTTCAAGCAACTGCTTTTCATAACCAAGTTTGAACATCTAGAAAAATATTAATAAAAATCCAAAAATTTTATTTGATTCTAAAGGTCTCAGTGTCCCTTGTTTCTGATCGAAATTGATCGAAAATATATGTTTTTTACAAACATTTTTTTCCCCAAACGCGTCGTTTTTTTATTGTTATCTTTATTTCATTTCTCACTGTTGTGTATAAACTGTGTATTAACACCGTTGTTCATGTTTTCAAAGAATGATCTTATATCTAATTGGATAGATTCGATACCTCAGTTTTTATAGTTTTTCTGTAAATTGTTGTTCTGATCATTTGAAAAATATGGTGGAACTTTGTATTTATTCGGGTGTATTTTAGTTTTTTGTTTTTCACGCAAAATCAAGAGTACCACAAATAATCATTGGAATGATTCCAGTGATATATTAAATTAAAGCCCTTTCATTCGTGATTCGAACGAAATTTCAAAACTTGAAAGAATTTTCTCAGTGTTGAGAAAATTAAGTTTGAAATTTTTGGTTTTGGTCAAATGTCATGCTAATAAGGTGAGCGTGCAGGCTTACAACAGCTTATTTATGCTTAATTTAACATGTGAAAACATAGTTTACTCGAGTAAATGTAGTTTTTGGATTGTTTTAGCGCCATTTTGGCAATCAAAAACTTTCTGCAAAAAAAAGACTTAAAAAAATTTCGAACAATTTTTTTTGTGTTTCTACTCATTTTCTTACAAAAACTGTTTTCCAATTGTCCTATTTTACTTTGACTGTCGAATTTGCCTACTTTTTTTTAAAGATCTATTTATCACACCACGCAGAAAAAACGACAAATAATTTGAAAAAAAACTAAGACTATGGTTGGAACATTGTGCTACTTGCACAGTAACCAGTTGTCCTTGTTTTTTTTCGCCATTGTTTGAAAATTTTAAATTAACTATTTTTTTAAAACTTTTTTTTTCATGTTAATCTTAGTTTATAACAATCGATGTGTTGTGCCTTAACTTATTATAGCCCTGAATGCTCCTGATTGAGCTGCATGGTTTTTGTTCCAAGACTGTGTCTAGTACAGTTTGAAAAATTTGACCACGCGTTTTTGAACTCAATTGAACTTCTTTGTCCTGTAAATTCCATCTCTTAATTATGAGAAAGCTATTGATGGAGTTTTATTATAGCCTAATCCTTCTTGTGGCTTAGATTAATGAGCCGACCCTTTTTTCTAAAGAATTCGGTTATTATTTTGTTTTCCTTGTGAAAGAAAAAGATAAAGGTAGATTTATGTTATAAATGAACTAATTGTTCGATTTGTCTGATTATTATGATAATTCCAAAAGCAACCAAATATACTTCTGAAATAGCCTCCGTGGATTGAAAAAATTTGTAAATTGAGAGTAGGGTTTTTATCAGTTTTTTTTGTATATAATTATTAGAATTTACTAACTTGGGCATTTAGTTTTGTATCGCAAATTGTGCGAAGCTGCGCTTCGTCTGTGTTTAATCTGAAACTGCTTTTTTTCAAAGCATCTGCATTCATCAAAAAATTATTTGCTGCTGCTTCGCCTTTTCAATTGTTGATCTCTAATTGACCTTCTATCCTAATTGACCTTTGTTATGCAGGTAACGCCAAGGCTAAAAGACTAGCGAAACGAGAGGCGGCGGCGAACATGTTGAAGCAGTTGGGCCAAATGAAGTTCACTGAAGGAGGAGAAAAGAGCTCAACTGGCGGGGGTATCACTTGTGCCTCTATTCAGGCGGTCGTTGGGGGGAGAGGTGGTAAAGTGACCGAGGAGGAGTCACTGGTTCAACTGGAGGATAGTTTTGCTCCCCCATTTAAGAGGGAGATCGAAACTGGGAAGAATAACAACGGAGAGCCATGGAGTACTGAGTGGCAGAGCGAGGAAAAGAAGGCGAGACTAGACGAGGAGTTTCTGCGACAGAACAAACTGGATCTGAGAGTTGAATCTCATTTGAATACTTACAAAGTAGAAATCACTCCTATAGATGCTAATTTAGTAATGGCAAACGTCGATTCACAAATACCGTCGCCGAATTATTTACACGAGTTACACAAGTACCTTAGTGTGAATGGAATCAAGTACCAATTTCATCATTCAATCATCCAAAGTATTGTTGATGAGCCTTTAGAGAAAAGCGAAAATCGATGCACCCTACAAATTAATTTTGACCAGCCGTTGTCTTTTATGCAAGTAGGGGTTCAGTTGGAAGAAGTTCAGCACGAGACGGCACGGGAAGCGCTGATACATTTGATAAAGCAGCAGAACTACAAAGAGTTAACATTCGCCCAGCTAAATCGACTGCTGCCTAAACGAGAGCCTATTGACGTGGTTTTAGAAACCAAATGCTGATTAATCTGAGATTCCACAAATCTAAGGTGCTTGATGAAGATTGTGTTCAAGTGTTTCTGATGCAAACTTCCATTTCCATTTATCGAGCTCAACTGAAAAGTAGCTCCAAATTGTTAAGGCCATGTTGTGCAGCAAAATAGCTGTTCAATATGAGTTGCCTTTGATATTCATAGTTTTCTTAGTATTCATAGTTTTCCTAAATTGAACTGATTTCTTTGACAGAAATAATCGTTAATTTTGAAGCTTATTTATTGCTTTTTTGACTGCTGGCAGGTACCAGTACCCCGACAACTCGCAACAAGACAACTCTAAAAATTTCAAAAAAAGTGACAACTCGCAAAGTTTGAAAATTAATATATAACGGAAGAATAGTTTCGTTTTAAGGACGATATTTGGCTCTCAATTTCAACTTAAGTTCTACCCTTCGTTGGCAAGCTCACAACTTATTGGCGCGACTGAGGCGGTGAGTAAATAGCGAGTTGTTTGTAAATGCGAGTTGTCGTTTATTGCGAGTTGTCGCATTACGCTGCTGGCGATGTTTTTCTTGAGCAGATCCAACAGCGCAAACTTATCTGAAATTTGATTAATGTTATAATTCTTTGAATTTAATTGAATCAAATTGTTAAAGTACCCCTTTTCTTGGGAAAAATTGTTCTCAAGCTGTCGAAGATGCAATTAATGATAGCTAATTTTTTTTGTGCTAGAATTGGAGGGGCAATAGTTATTTAAAACAAATTTCATCAATTATCAGTTTACCCATGTCCTTTTAAGTTCGAAAACCAGACATTTTACTAGTCCCGGTTACGTACACAAAGCTTGAAGAAGCAAAAAAAACTTAACTAACGTTTTTTGACAGGCTAACAAATATGCAATTTTCTCTCTGATTTTAAATCCTTGAGAAATAGATTTCGATTTTGGAAAAGGTTAAAATAAATCAACGTTTCGGAGGTTTTGTGGATGTGGAGAGCAGCCTGTATTTAGACAACCGCGTATTCGTACTCTTCAGTATTTAGACAAATACTGTATGAACCAATCATAATCGAGAAAAGACATAAATAATCCAAAATAAATAATAATTATTTATTACTTTCTTCTTTGTCTCGATTCTGATTGGTTGAAACAGTATTTGTCTAAATACTGACGAGATTGAATACGCGGTTGTCTAAATCTGCTATGTAACCTGTAGATGCGTTCGTAATTTTTTTTCTGTGGCAAATGCTCGAAAACTTATGTTCAAGCTTTTTGAAATTCCTTTTTTGGCAATTCTGTTTTTCATTTTAATCTTAGTAATTAACAATCAATGAGTAGAGCCTCAAAATTGGAGAGAAAATTGCATATTTGTTAGCCTGTCAAAAAAAACGTCAGTTAAGTTTTTTTTTGCTTCTTCAAGCTCTGTGTACGTAACCGGATTTGTAAAATGTCTGGTTTTCCAACCTAAAAGGACATGGGTAAACTGATAATTGATCAAATGCCCCTGGCCCAGTTGCAGCCTGTTTTGTTTCAAAGTTTATTGGCAAATTGTAATTGTACAGTTTGGAACGTTTGTACATTGGTTTTTGAACTAATTTTCACTTTTTTGTCTGATAATTTCCATATCTTAGCTATGAGAAAGCTATTATTGGATTTTATTTATAGCCGAATGTCGTAGGTAAATGGGCTGACGATTGGTCTAAAAAATCTGTTTTATTTCTCTAAATTTTCCATGTTCTAGAGATATGAATATAGATTTATGTAATTATTAAACCAAAATTTGACGGATCATTGCACAAGCCAGCTGGCGTTCGTAGTATATTATTATGGAAGCACTTTCTTTTCAAACCCAACTGTCCTTTAATGGATTTTCTGCTGCATAGCATTGAAATTTTCATAGCATATGTTCTCTGCTTTATTGGTGGCTAGTGATTGCCTAAAGTCAAGCAATCGTGGCGCAGACTCGAGGACATGAAACTCCTTGTCTACTGGTCGGTGGTGCGATATCGGCAGATATCACAATTTGTTTTCAAGGTTTATTTTAACTTTTTCAAGGTTTTATTACTTTTTGTCGAAAGACCTGCAGTGAGGGGGGAGGGGGTCTGGGTCAATACTTGTTTTGAGTTTGCAGTTTCAAGTAGCCCAACTATAATTTCTATTATCGTTTTGACCATTTTTGAGTTCTCATTGTTTTTTCTGTTCATTTTGCTAACTCCAGCGATCAAATGTGTTATATTTCGAGCCAGGGTTTTTCCAATCCAACTCGCATGAAATAAAAATTTATGCTCATTTTTGCTGCATTTTATTGGCAGTTTAACCGCGTGTGTTCTCCGCTTTATGAGTGGCTAGTCTTTGAAAGCTTTAAATGTCAGCAGCACAGTTGTGCAGAGTAGTAAAATTGGGTGCTCAATGCCTGTGGTTCAATTTCCGTAGAGATCGTTTATTATTCAATAAATTCATTTAGTTTTTGTTCTCTTGCCGTTTTTACCATTCTTAACCGCGTTTTTTCGTTTGCGAATTCAATCTGTGTCTAGTAAAATAATTTTCTTAAAAAAGATTCGTTCTTTTATTCTGATTTTGCCTTTCCCTATCTTTTACGTTGAATGATTCAGGACAATTTGATGGTTACTGTTGTCAATTTTGAGTGGCTTGAAATACGTTCGCTTGTAGTGACCATTTTTTGGCATGCTTTTTACGTAGCATTTTTTGCTGGGCACACGTTATTATGCTCCGGTGTGAAATTCAGAGCGTCGCAGTTATAAAAGATACTGTTTGTTTCCCGGTTAATTTCCGCGTCCACCTCTCCTCCGGTTCCAGAGATAGCCCGGTCCCCGTATGTTTCCTACTGGTTCATGTTTTATACTGATGTGTGGAGCTGTCGACGCTCATCTGGCATATGACTTACAGGCTGGCTCGTACCAAAGGGGCCCACGATAGACCTTCTCCTGTGGTTTCGTCGTCCCAGATAATTCCCGTTCGCAGTCAGACTCACGCATGCTCATGATGAAAATGTCCCGCACGTTTTCTGCTGCATTAGTCTAATTGCACCGTCCCGCTAGTGCGCTAAGCACCGCATGGAATTTTTTGAAAATTTCCTTTTCACGCTGCTCTGTCTTTAGAATAGTGCCCTTTTGTGATTTACGTTCCGCTCCCTTTCAAGCGCATTTCACATGTGGCCAAGTTCACCCCGGGTTCCTTGCTTTGAATATCCGCTGTGCATCATTGCCGATGCACAGGCAGAGATTTGACTTCAGTTTCTTTTCGGATTCGATCCTGTTTTTCTCGTTGACGTTTGGAGCTAGCGCACCGAAGTGAGCTGCTGTTAGGGTATCTGCAAAATAAATTTCGTCCCGATCAATGTCATGTTATGCAATCACTCTTCAGTGGAATTTTTTATCTACTTCTCCCAGAAGACTGGGGGTTGCGGTTTCCAAAGTCTAACTACAACTTTCTCTTTTCGGTGTTTTGAGACATAGAGGTCAGTTGCAGTTGGCAGACAGGTTGCCAGACATCCTCAAGGACATTCATATAGACTTTACCCGAACTCCCCCATCTACCCCTATCTCAAGGAAAGTCTTAAAATTTGTTCATGCTCATTATTGATTGTTTGCGGTGTTACTTTGATTTTTTCAAACTACTTCATTTCTTTTGTTAAAAGGAAGGCAAACTCGACTTTCGATTAGCAAAGTTTAATAGGTCACGACAAACGTGATCGACTTCTAATTTCGAAAGTGGATTTTAACCTCAGATTTCCCGGCGAATAAAAATTTTATCTTTTGATGCAGTTTTTTCGACATGAGTTAATTGTAATGAAAAGTGCCAGTCATTATTATTTCATCATGAAATTTAAGGTGTTTTACACAATCAAAAAACACTCAGTATTTGTTCCTGTTTCCCTGCGTTCATTGGTGTTTTTTTCTAAATGTCTGTAGGCATTTTTTGTGTTGGCTATTTTTGTTCTGTTGGATAATTTTTTTTTCTGTTGGCTGTTTTCATTTTGAAATAGTAAAATCTTACAAGTCAATAATATCAAGTGTAGGCTCTTAGATTTGGCTTCTTTCTCTAAGCTCGCTGGTCATGATTTTTACCGCTAACTAATGCTAATCATGTTTGTGTATGATTGTCATTAGCGCTGTCACGTTCGCTCTCACATCTCGAGTCATGGAAGTGTTGAAACCGAGTCAAATACTGGGCGAATTTCTCGTTGGTCATTAAGAAAACAAACAAAATGATTTCTGAAGAGTTAAAACAAATTCAATGTGTATTTAAACGAAATCAAATTTAACTTTAATCTTAGAAGACAGCAACAAATTAAATTAATTAGTGGTGATTTTGCTAAATTTGGTTATTGTTTCAGTTCGAAAAAAGATAATTACGGTGTTTATTTTACCCTTGCGATAGAAGGGTAGAGAACTTTGTTCAGAGATGGTGAGCATGGTCTGTGAACCACTTCATGGTTAGTTATTAGCATGGTTACTGTATTTGCCTTGCGCTTAAGCTAGTAGTTGCCTATAATTTTCTTATGATATTCGAAAGTTTTTGTAAGATTTTCGGCACTGAGGTCGGTCGGCTTTGATTCTGTCGTTTTTTTCTAATGTTTTTATTTCATTAGTTTTGTTGGCTTATTACAAATGAGCTCTAACCAGAAATTTTTGAAAACTGGAAATCACCTTCTTAAGCCATCCGTAATACAAATAGAAAAAATCTATCTATCATTTTATACTATATTCAAATGCGTGTGACAGCTATCTCACTTGTTTAAGCATAATAATTTTGCTTGTTTTACGACAGATTTTTTTTTCACGTGTAAGCTATATCATTTATTGCAATGCTTCAGAAAATTTTTCGATGAACTTTGCTCAAGGTCATCAAATTTTTCAGCAATTAATTTTGAGGTCAAATTAAGTCTGTCTGTATACCTGCTTTTTCGTCTATCTATTATCTATTTCTCTTATATATTTAAATGCGGTCTTCACGATCTTGCCATACTGAAGCTTTTTCAACGTAATATTTTTGTTCAACAAGAATTTTCTCACATTTAAGCTATATCATGTATTGCAATGCTAAAGAAAAATTTTCGATGAGCTTTCCTCAAGGTAATTAAATTTTTCAGCTTTTTTTTCGAGGTCAAATTAAGTCTGTCTGTCTGATACCTGATTTTTCATCTATCTATTAGGGTAGTCAGGGTATGCGAATCTTTCCTCCAAATCTCAATGCTCACCTCCTTGTAGTTTTCGAAATAGGGCGTTTTTTATGATTTTTTCAAAAGTTTTCAAAAAAAACTTAGATTTGAAAAAAAAATTCCAGAAGTTTGAAGATCTCAATCCTTTTGTTGGGAATTTTTCAGAGAACTTAGATACAAA